CTTCAAGTATCCAGCTGTCTATCTGTTACCTGTCTGTTTCATCTTTATCTCTGCTGATCGAACTGAATGAAAACAAGTTGACCCTCCTCGTGGTAGTCTCTTGCACAATTTGAGAAGGCAAAGCCATTGTCCTAGCTACCCAGCGGCTGAGGGGTCAGCAAGAGAAGCCCCGTGCCGTTCTAGGGGCTTCGCCGGAAGGCTGGTGTCCCCAGAACATGGCACCGCCGCCGGGGCCGGCTCCGGCCCCTGGGGGCAGGTGGCCAGCTCCCGGACCGCCCGCGCCGCCGCCAGTGCCCGCAGCCCCACCGCCACCGGTGCCAGGGCCGCCCTTGGGCTCGCCCGCTCCTAGCACCGGATCGTCCTTCTTGGGGCAGAGGCCGAAGGCCGTGGGGAAGCCATAGGGATGAGGGAACAGCGGCGGGGGCAGCTTCTGCAGTAGGCCAAAGCCCTTGCTGGGCACCGGGATCACCGGGTAGCTGCGTACGCCGGCGCCCCCACCAGGTCCTCCGGGGCCCGCGGGGCCGCCGGCTCCGGCAGCTAGGCCCAGGCCGCGCTGCGGATGGGGAGGAGGTGGCCCCGGAGGCCCGGACGCCTCATCTTCGCCACAGCGCAGGCTTTTATGGGGTGGCGGACCTGGGGCCATCTCTGCGCCGCACCCGGGGCCACCCGCGCCGCCACTGCCAGCACCAACCTTCCCCTGTCCAGCAGCCCCGCCATTAGCCCCGCCACCCCCGCCGCCTCCCTGCAGCGAGAAGGTCCGCTTGCGTGTGCCGCCATTGAACATGGCCTTGACGTCCTCCCACGCGTGGCTCAGCTCGTCCGTGGCCGACTTGTCACTGAGTTTAAGGTGACGACGCCATGAATTGAAGTTGGCGGCGTCAGGTTGCGTGTACTTGGCGTCGGGCGTGCGATGCGAGTGGAAGATGAACTTGTTGGGCGAGAAGTACATGCTGCAGTAGCCGCACTTGATGCACTTGGCACGCGAGCTGTTGTAACGCGCAGGGATGAAGCTGCCACGAGAACCCCACGCACACTCGTGCACCACGTCGAAGGCGAAGTTCTCAGGCAGCTTGGGTGGCTTGTGTTCGCCCAGGAACGACTTGCACAAGCGTTCGGCCTCTCGCTTGGTGATCATGCCGCAGCGGCGCGACGAGATGGGCATGGCCCCGGCCCGACGCAGAATCTCCAGCTGCACCGGCGTACACTGCACGCACGTGATGCCCAGGGCCACGCGGCGGTTGTGGATCTCATTATAACTGTAGTTCTTGAGGAGGGTGTTGGAGATCTGCGCCAGGCACAGGCGCTCCTGGCCGTCGATGACCAGCGACACGATAGGCACCCCGTACAGCGACGTCTCGCCCACCTGGTTGGGTTTCAGAGCGCTGGAACCGGAGTAGGGCTGCAGCTCTTGCTTGGAGTTGGGCGAGGAGCTGCCTTCGCGCCCTGGCCCCAGCTGGGTGGTGAGAGCCTCCATGCCGCCGCTCCTGCGAAACAGAAAAAGCAGAGAGCAGATGAGCCATTTTCAGCGCCACCGCCGCCGCCGCCGCCACCGCTCTGGCCCGCCCAGCGGGGCGCGCAGAGTCGGGCGCTCCGGGGAAACTTGGCAAGGGGAGTCCAAGCTCATTCGCCCCCCTGGACGGGCGCCTTTGTTATTCAGACACGTGCTGGCGCCCGAACAAAAGCCCCCGGGGTTTGGGGAAGTAAAAGAAGTAATGGAGACTCCTGGAATGCCCCAGCTGTTGTGAACCCAATCTCATTTACAGACTGGAAAGGAAGTGGGGCCCAGAGACTGAGAGGGACTTGCCCAAGGCCACACAGCAACGCCATGGTCGAATTCAGGGTTCTCGGCGCCCAGATTTGTGCGCTTTCAGTCACCCTCGCAGCCCACCCTGACGGCCAGGGTCCTGAAGTCCGGACTTCGGGGACCGGCCGCCCCTCTGCTCAGTCGCGCATGTACGCGGGCTGGCTGGGGCAGCGCAGGGAGGGGTTGGGAGACGGGGGAGGGGCGGTCACTGCCCATTTCCAGACAGCTGGGGGGAGGGGGAACGAGACCAGGATGGGAGGGGAGGGACCCGAGGCTGTGGGGGAGGGGGAGAGTCGCAGGCACTGCTGTTCGAGGTGCTGAACCCGACCTTCCGAAGCACGCTGCGCGCGCGCCCAGCCCCAGGCGCAGCCCCTACCGCACCCAGCTCTGTGCGGAGCCGGCTCCCAAGGACAACAGCTCCGGTTTCTACTAACCCAAGTTACTCCTCCCACTCTCGGAGCCCAGGGTTCGTGGAGCAGAACGGTTCCGGCAGGGAATAAACCGTTTTCACCCCCCAGTCTGCAGTAGGACAAGAGTCTTGCAATTCCTAACCCCATTTTCTGCAGTTTTCAGCCACGTTCCCGATCCCAGCTAGTTTCCATCGGGGTCAGCACGTGGGAGGCCGAGGCTCTGGAGGAACTTTCGCTAGAGCCCCTTCTTGACTTCTGATGGCTCAGCCCGAGTTTTCTCATTCAGATAAGCCTTTTCTACTCAGGCCAATTGCAGGCTCCCCAGACACTACGCTTCGTCTTTTGGTGCAGTTCCACGCCGAATGTCCTCCAGGTCTTGCTGCCCTGGCTCTTCTGCGCTGGAGAATCCAAGCCTGGTCTCTCACAAAAGTTGCTGTGGGTCCCAGGCTTTGCTCTCTGGCCCAGGCAGCTGCACCCGCATTGGGGCGGGGGTGGGGTGTTAAAGATTGATGCTTGGGGCCCTATAGGTCTCCCGACCTGGTCACATGTCCTCAGACACTGAAGGCTCTGACTCATCCCAGGCTGCAGGTGCTCCTGCAGCGCGGGCAGCTTAACTCTGGGGGCTCATCACCTAAACTCGGTCGGTAAGCGAATGCCATATTTAGAGGGCAGCTCCAGGCAGTCAGGGGCTGCTAGGTCAAAATTCTTAATCGAAGAGACGGACTCTTGCGTCTGTCTGTCGGTCTTCCTCTCTGTTTGTCTAGGTGTCCCTAGTCTGTGGATCTTATCTGTCCTGAGCTGTCAGTCTCGCCCAGCGCGCTCCTCTTTCTCCCATCTGTCTTCATACCTTCTTCAAGTATCCAGCTGTCTATCTGTTACCTGTCTGTTTCATCTTTATCTCTGCTGATCGAACTGAATGAAAACAAGTTGACCCTCCTCGTGGTAGTCTCTTGCACAATTTGAGAAGGCAAAGCCATTGTCCTAGCTACCCAGCGGCTGAGGGGTCAGCAAGAGAAGCCCCGTGCCGTTCTAGGGGACTCGCAAGCAGTCTGGGAAGGTGGCAGGGAGCTCTCAGCTCTGGAAATGACTATGGCTTCTGGGTTTCCCGAAATTGTGCCGGCCCGCATGCAGTGAAGAGAGCGCCCCGAGCCGAATGCATCCTCCCCAAGCCGAGGGCCCTGCGTCCTCGCCGGCTTTTCCAGAGTGGGACGAGGTGGCTCCGAGCCCCGGTGTCAGGGGAAGAGGGGCTCTGGGGAGAGGCTCAGAATTTCGGGGGGCCAGAGCAGAAAGCCTGGAAGAGAGGCCGTCCGAAGCGACCAGGAGCAGTAGCTAGGACCAGCTCTTAGAACCATGGTCTGTTCCCGGGGCTTCAGGGGGAGGCCGGGGGTAAGGGGGGTGATGAGGCGGGAGGCGGCGGAAGCGAGGCTGTAGCTTCGTTAGGTCTGAGAATAAAAACAACAGCCACAAGAACCCAAATCGGAATTAAACGGAAAAAAA